GGGGGGGGGGGGGGGGGGGGGGGCGGAATTGGATACAAGGTTCAAAATCATCTGTGGTTTATGAATTAGTTAACAATCTGTTTACATTCGATTTGTTATCATGCATAATTATAAGCTCACCTTTCTGAGAATATATCTGTAAACGTTTCCATGTCAACGGCTTCCTTTAAATTCTGATTTCCCCGCTTTTTTCTTTATTTTCTACTTCTCATCCATAACGACTCCTTGAGATTCAAAAATATTCTGTTACCGCAGGCGGCATGTCAGAAATTGATTACTACTTCTGGAGGTCAAGGACAATCAATCGGCTGTATACCGACTTTTAGTTTCACGCAAACGTCAATTCCTGCTAAATTCCAGTCTTTCATTAGAACATGCACACCTCCTTATGCCACTAAATCAACAGAAAAGATTCCTCAACTTTCAGACGCATTTTCAGAGCTATGTACAAGCCATTTTATCGAAAAGAACGCAAATCCTGAAGCAAAATTGCAGCCCAAAGCCAACTTTATCCTTCCATTTCGAAAGAAAGCGCGCCCAAACGCCAGGTTACCTCACCTTCCCAAAGAAGGCCAGGCAGCTTGGCAACTAACAAAACATGGCGTCCACTCAGCTGAGTCAAATGGTAAGCTTATGTTAACTATTTTCTCCAAGTAAGAGCAGCATTCTGTTCTTAAAATGTCTTTAGTAGATAGCCCAATATAACCTCCAGCCTCCTATACAAACATTTATAAAACTTGGGCGGTTTTTGGTGGTTTTTCTTGGCATTTCTGTTCTTCTCCCATTAAACCTTAAACGTGCATCAAGTAAGTACCCGAGCTTGACAGCTGTTTTGCACTGTCTGTTGTTTTTGTTTTAGGAAAAGAAGAGGTTGCAGGGATTCTTAAACGAAATGCTTAGATGTGGTTGTTTAAAGGTACGTAATAAGGACCCGCTGAGGTTCCAACCAAGAAGTCCAAACTGCCAACGATTCCATATTTCAAAGTGCTTTGCTAATTAATTACCCTGCGAGCAGAGGCCCTTCTACGAGTTATCTAGGAAGATCGAAGGGCCTCTGCTCGCAGGGTACTTGCAAATTAGCTAAGCATCTCCCTCGAATGGGGGTAGAACCCTGCGAGCAGTGCTTATGGGGTAGTTGAGGAGCTGAAATGTTTGGAATTTTTTACTGGTGTACAAGCGCAATATTGAGTATTTTTCCTTCATACATGTACATAGTTAAGTTGAAAATTTCGGTGACAGAAAAAGCAACAAGCAAATGCAGTTTTTTTCCATGTATGCATGGACGTTACCAAAACATGGACCCCCAGTCAATGGACTACCCCTGTGGACCTAGTCCCTGGACCCCTTCGTGGACCCAGTCCATGGACTACCCTTGTGGACCCCCCTATTTATTGAAGATGAATTTTACCAGTTGGGCTGAATATGATATGAATAATAATGTCAGTCAAGGAGGGTATTATTCCCCAAAAGCAAACTTTGCTCTCAGTTTATATTATCAGGCTTATGAGCTTCTAATATTATGCACCTGTTCAGTTTTTTCTTGAATTCCATACATGGATTTGGTGTAGTCTGGTAAAGGACGAACAATATTTGTGGTTTGGGGGAAGTAGCCTCCTGTGCAAACGTTTTATTTCATCGCATTGCATATCCTCACCAGAATTTCCTTCCGTTGATGGCCCATGGAAACGTTTCTTCATCCGCAGACTTAAGTCACTCCTGCTTACAGATCAAGCACAAAATGGCCTGCATATAACTGTTATGTCCAGAAAGCTTGCCAAATGTCTATCCAACGACATAGTTTGAAAATATGCAGGTCATTTTGTGTTTGTTCCGTAAGGAGGATTCGGTAAGCTTGCTAACAGGCTATCAAGGGAAGGGAAGTCTGGGGAGGGTGCTCATTGATCATGCGTTACTTCTTACTCCCTAGTCTCGTACGTTTGCAGCCGTTTTTGAGTTGTCACGCAACATCTCAACACACACACAAAAAAAGCTGCACAGAAGACTACTTCCTCCCTATCTCTCTCCCTAGCTGCCCCCTTCAAAATTAATATTGTTACTCCTTCACCAGACAAACCCAAACCCTTTACATTGGTATGGAATTCAGGAAAAGTTTGAACAAGACAGTGTGTGTGTAATATGAGTTGCCCATAATCCTGATAATAATAAAATTATGAATAATTTATTGATGCACACACTTCCATTTAAGGTTCCATTTTTGGTTCCACAGGGGTAGTCCATGCACCAGGTCCATGAACAGGTCCATGGAGTGGTCCATGGACTTGGGCTCCATGTTTTGTATACATCCTTTATGCATGATGATGATTATTCATGTTACTCATTTACAGGGTTTCAAATACTTTGCTCTTTACCTGCGTGGAAGAGAAGAGCTTATTTGCCGTGTGCTAAATGAACCTATGGTTAGTGCTTTAACAAAACAAATCTTTCATAATTGTTTTTTTTTTTTAAATAAATAAGTAAATAAATAAATAGATTAATACATAAAACATTTAATGAAATCAAGGTTGTGATCAAGAGGTCAAAATGCCCTGAACCTACAAAATGAAGGTGCCCAGCTTCTATGGTTCAGAAAATTCCAAGTATGCCCATCCCCCTCCATCCTCAACTAGAGTTTATACATGCACAATGTAGCTGCCAGGTCCCATCAGGCATGGTCAGAACACAGCCGTGATTTTAATTAATAATATACAATAGTAATAATACAATATCTGTTTTATGGTCACTTCATTCCATGGTCAGATTATTCATTCCATTTCATAGACCGTTCTACAGTTTTAGTGTAAAACTCAATGTGAAGTGCACTTTTTTCTGCTTATGGCTTAAAGAACGAGGTGTACACATGCATATTGCCCTTTTTTTTATAGACTTATGAAAAGTTCTGACTATATTGTACAATGTAAATTGATATGACTATTTACCCTTTAAATTAAGCCCTAAGGGTGATCAGTGTCAAATTTCTCCTTGTAATATCAATCCTTTGTAAAAGAGAGTGGTCATGAGAATTAGAGACATGATCACACAGGATGAATTTGCTTGATATTTTAAAAACTTCTCCCCACTGTTTATCTAGGAAATGAATAGGGGCTACAAATGAGAATTCAAATTTTGATCTTTGGGTGTAAGGGGTTAAGTGGAACAATCTGACTAGGAACAATCTGACGATGCCAGAACAAAGTGACTGGATACCCAATATCTTACATTTCTCATCATCAGTTTGCCCTTAAACCCTTTTATTCCCAGCAACATTTTGTGAAGGGTCTAAAATCTATGATTTTTGCAAGTCCCCAGAAATCTGGTCATATTATGATGCACCAACATCTGAAAAGACAAGATTAAAAGGAAGATCTAGCTTTACCTTTGACAGCGGAGCAAATTTACCCAGAAATGAGTAAGTGTTAGATGTCGTTGTTGTCAATCAAGGCATTGCATTGAGACCTTTAGACATGGTTCACACGAGCCTTGAAAAGCTTTTGAAAATTGAAAAAGTGTGGGGTATCCTTCAAAAGTCCTTAAATTTTCCACAGAAGTGCTTGTATATTTTTGAAAGCTCCTTGAATAAAAATAACTTTCATTAAAAAAATTTTTTGCATACAGGAATTATTGGAAGCACAGCAATACAAAAAAATTTTCTTGGTGATCATGAAAGTGTTTTCTTTATATGATTTCGGTGTTCCCATCATATTTCATTTTCCGTCACTTGAATTACCCTAGGAACTGTACCTTAATGAAGGCAGGTATTGCAGTAATTAACCCCCCCACCTCCACCTATGCATTTGAAAGGTCTTTACTTCATATTATCGGGGAAAAGAAGTCTTTGACAAAATGATTTACTCCTTGAAAAGTCCTTAATTTTTCTATGAACCATGTTTAGATTTAAGGATGACTATGAGGATGAGATTTTACTTTAAATTATTTTGCAAATATATTTTTTATTTATTTATTTTATTGGTTCGAACGTCGCACTTCACATGCATTTAACTCTCACACTGAGTTCGGCACATGTGAAATTTGACGTTTAAACAGGGCCTTTAAACATGTTTATTGTAGTCATTGCAAGTGCAGTGTATGGAAGTCACATTGAAACTTCACCAAACCATTTTAAAGTAGTTGATTGTTATTTCTTTGGTACAGGAAGTCCTTGATCATGTCTACTAACACCCAAAAGAGGTAATAGTTACTTGAATGAAATATATGCACTGTACATTGTGCAAGTAAAATGCACGTTCCTTGGCTCCTGTTGTATTATTTGTACAGGATATTGAGCGATTTATTTTGCACAGAATAAAGCTCTTCTGTTTGAAATTTTATTTTAATCATAACCATCAGTAAAAATTAATTAGATTCAAGTTAAAAATTGAAGGACTTAAAATGAAATTTCAAACAGTAAATGAAAGCTGTTAACTTAAATAGATATTTTAAACAAGTTATAATAAAGGATCTTGTCATATTGTAAATGATTTTTTTTTTGGTGCTGATCAAAACCTTGTTTAAACATTGTTTATAAAAACATACCAGACAGATAGGCTGTATCACAGGGCTGTCATTAAGTTTTTAAGCAGCTGTAGCAAATGAAGATTCACCCATAACATCTCAAGAAAATATTATACATGTTTTGTCACCTTTAGCTTTTCAATTTGACCATTCCTAACATAAAGTTTGCTCGGCGATAACTAGTGTTACGGACAGCTTAATGACAGCTCTAACTCAGTACCCTTACACCCTTTTATTATTGGGACAGTGATCTGAGTAAAGAATGAGAAATTGATAATAAAAAACTGAGGCACATTTATAATGGTAAAATTGAACTGAGTGCAGTTTAGTCCAAAATCATATGCATGATTTCAAAATCAAACGAGCGCACACCACAAGTTTTGATTTGAAATCACAAGTATGATTTACCATGTAACAACTAGAAATAGAGAGATTTAGAATAATGTTACTGTAAACCATATAATGGCAAATGTCAGTTTGTTTGACATGACCAAGTTTTTTCTTGTCAGTTCACTGTTCATTAATATTACATTTGCACAAAACAATTTGCCATTTGCGGTAAACCTGATTCTGTATCTCTCCAATACTTTTCTGTAACACAGTTTAAGTGGCTATGGCTTCATGGACATTGGTCTTCCTCCAGCGAGTCCTAGTGACAAAGATATTGATTTAAAGGTAAAGTTGAGTTCATAAATTTCGGTGACAGAAAAAGCAACAAGCAAATGCAGTTTTTTTCCATGTATGCATGGACGTTACCAAAACATGGACCCCCAGTCAATGGACTACCCCTGTGGACCTAGTCCCTGGACCCCTTCGTGGACCCAGTCCATGGACTACCCTTGTGGACCCCCCTATTTATTGAAGATGAATTTTACCAGTTGGGCTGAATATGATATGAATAATAATGTCAGTCAAGGAGGGTATTATTCCCCAAAAGCAAACTTTGCTCTCAGTTTATATTATCAGGCTTATGAGCTTCTAATATTATGCACCTGTTCAGTTTTTTCTTGAATTCCATACATGGATTTGGTGTAGTCTGGTAAAGGACGAACAATATTTGTGGTTTGGGGGAAGTAGCCTCCTGTGCAAACGTTTTATTTCATCGCATTGCATATCCTCACCAGAATTTCCTTCCGTTGATGGCCCATGGAAACGTTTCTTCATCCGCAGACTTAAGTCACTCCTGCTTACAGATCAAGCACAAAATGGCCTGCATATAACTGTTATGTCCAGAAAGCTTGCCAAATGTCTATCCAACGACATAGTTTGAAAATATGCAGGTCATTTTGTGTTTGTTCCGTAAGGAGGATTCGGTAAGCTTGCTAACAGGCTATCAAGGGAAGGGAAGTCTGGGGAGGGTGCTCATTGATCATGCGTTACTTCTTACTCCCTAGTCTCGTACGTTTGCAGCCGTTTTTGAGTTGTCACGCAACATCTCAACACACACACAAAAAAAGCTGCACAGAAGACTACTTCCTCCCTATCTCTCTCCCTAGCTGCCCCCTTCAAAATTAATATTGTTACTCCTTCACCAGACAAACCCAAACCCTTTACATTGGTATGGAATTCAGGAAAAGTTTGAACAAGACAGTGTGTGTGTAATATGAGTTGCCCATAATCCTGATAATAATAAAATTATGAATAATTTATTGATGCACACACTTCCATTTAAGGTTCCATTTTTGGTTCCACAGGGGTAGTCCATGCACCAGGTCCATGAACAGGTCCATGGAGTGGTCCATGGACTTGGGCTCCATGTTTTGTATACATCCTTTATGCATGATGATGATTATTCATGTTACTCATTTACAGGGTTTCAAATACTTTGCTCTTTACCTGCGTGGAAGAGAAGAGCTTATTTGCCGTGTGCTAAATGAACCTATGGTTAGTGCTTTAACAAAACAAATCTTTCATAATTGTTTTTTTTTTTAAATAAATAAGTAAATAAATAAATAGATTAATACATAAAACATTTAATGAAATCAAGGTTGTGATCAAGAGGTCAAAATGCCCTGAACCTACAAAATGAAGGTGCCCAGCTTCTATGGTTCAGAAAATTCCAAGTATGCCCATCCCCCTCCATCCTCAACTAGAGTTTATACATGCACAATGTAGCTGCCAGGTCCCATCAGGCATGGTCAGAACACAGCCGTGATTTTAATTAATAATATACAATAGTAATAATACAATATCTGTTTTATGGTCACTTCATTCCATGGTCAGATTATTCATTCCATTTCATAGACCGTTCTACAGTTTTAGTGTAAAACTCAATGTGAAGTGCACTTTTTTCTGCTTATGGCTTAAAGAACGAGGTGTACACATGCATATTGCCCTTTTTTTTATAGACTTATGAAAAGTTCTGACTATATTGTACAATGTAAATTGATATGACTATTTACCCTTTAAATTAAGCCCTAAGGGTGATCAGTGTCAAATTTCTCCTTGTAATATCAATCCTTTGTAAAAGAGAGTGGTCATGAGAATTAGAGACATGATCACACAGGATGAATTTGCTTGATATTTTAAAAACTTCTCCCCACTGTTTATCTAGGAAATGAATAGGGGCTACAAATGAGAATTCAAATTTTGATCTTTGGGTGTAAGGGGTTAAGTGGAACAATCTGACTAGGAACAATCTGACGATGCCAGAACAAAGTGACTGGATACCCAATATCTTACATTTCTCATCATCAGTTTGCCCTTAAACCCTTTTATTCCCAGCAACATTTTGTGAAGGGTCTAAAATCTATGATTTTTGCAAGTCCCCAGAAATCTGGTCATATTATGATGCACCAACATCTGAAAAGACAAGATTAAAAGGAAGATCTAGCTTTACCTTTGACAGCGGAGCAAATTTACCCAGAAATGAGTAAGTGTTAGATGTCGTTGTTGTCAATCAAGGCATTGCATTGAGACCTTTAGACATGGTTCACACGAGCCTTGAAAAGCTTTTGAAAATTGAAAAAGTGTGGGGTATCCTTCAAAAGTCCTTAAATTTTCCACAGAAGTGCTTGTATATTTTTGAAAGCTCCTTGAATAAAAATAACTTTCATTAAAAAAATTTTTTGCATACAGGAATTATTGGAAGCACAGCAATACAAAAAAATTTTCTTGGTGATCATGAAAGTGTTTTCTTTATATGATTTCGGTGTTCCCATCATATTTCATTTTCCGTCACTTGAATTACCCTAGGAACTGTACCTTAATGAAGGCAGGTATTGCAGTAATTAACCCCCCCACCTCCACCTATGCATTTGAAAGGTCTTTACTTCATATTATCGGGGAAAAGAAGTCTTTGACAAAATGATTTACTCCTTGAAAAGTCCTTAATTTTTCTATGAACCATGTTTAGATTTAAGGATGACTATGAGGATGAGATTTTACTTTAAATTATTTTGCAAATATATTTTTTATTTATTTATTTTATTGGTTCGAACGTCGCACTTCACATGCATTTAACTCTCACACTGAGTTCGGCACATGTGAAATTTGACGTTTAAACAGGGCCTTTAAACATGTTTATTGTAGTCATTGCAAGTGCAGTGTATGGAAGTCACATTGAAACTTCACCAAACCATTTTAAAGTAGTTGATTGTTATTTCTTTGGTACAGGAAGTCCTTGATCATGTCTACTAACACCCAAAAGAGGTAATAGTTACTTGAATGAAATATATGCACTGTACATTGTGCAAGTAAAATGCACGTTCCTTGGCTCCTGTTGTATTATTTGTACAGGATATTGAGCGATTTATTTTGCACAGAATAAAGCTCTTCTGTTTGAAATTTTATTTTAATCATAACCATCAGTAAAAATTAATTAGATTCAAGTTAAAAATTGAAGGACTTAAAATGAAATTTCAAACAGTAAATGAAAGCTGTTAACTTAAATAGATATTTTAAACAAGTTATAATAAAGGATCTTGTCATATTGTAAATGATTTTTTTTTTGGTGCTGATCAAAACCTTGTTTAAACATTGTTTATAAAAACATACCAGACAGATAGGCTGTATCACAGGGCTGTCATTAAGTTTTTAAGCAGCTGTAGCAAATGAAGATTCACCCATAACATCTCAAGAAAATATTATACATGTTTTGTCACCTTTAGCTTTTCAATTTGACCATTCCTAACATAAAGTTTGCTCGGCGATAACTAGTGTTACGGACAGCTTAATGACAGCTCTAACTCAGTACCCTTACACCCTTTTATTATTGGGACAGTGATCTGAGTAAAGAATGAGAAATTGATAATAAAAAACTGAGGCACATTTATAATGGTAAAATTGAACTGAGTGCAGTTTAGTCCAAAATCATATGCATGATTTCAAAATCAAACGAGCGCACACCACAAGTTTTGATTTGAAATCACAAGTATGATTTACCATGTAACAACTAGAAATAGAGAGATTTAGAATAATGTTACTGTAAACCATATAATGGCAAATGTCAGTTTGTTTGACATGACCAAGTTTTTTCTTGTCAGTTCACTGTTCATTAATATTACATTTGCACAAAACAATTTGCCATTTGCGGTAAACCTGATTCTGTATCTCTCCAATACTTTTCTGTAACACAGTTTAAGTGGCTATGGCTTCATGGACATTGGTCTTCCTCCAGCGAGTCCTAGTGACAAAGATATTGATTTAAAGGTAAAGTTGAGTTCACGTATACAGATTGAAATATGATCTATTGTACAAGAAGGCAGTATTATAAACAATTCAATTTGTAATTAGGCATGAAGTAGTGAAGATCAATGAACTTATCTATTAATTACCTCATTGCAACATTTGCCTAGCTTGATCCTTTTGTTTAGTTCATTAAACAACACAATATTCCTCCTCAAGTTTCTTTTGTTTGAATTCATGAATTTTTTGTCTCATAGCCTTAGAATCCAGGATACAGTACAGTAATATCTATTAATAATATTGTATGCATAACATGTAACAATAGGTCATATTTGTGGTCTGAAAATTTCCTTACCAGGTGGTTTAATTCTTTTATATATAAATAGTTTGTTTCTTTTGCTCCAGATATAAGGGTATAGAATGGATATTATATAATCTTCAAAACACATGGGTCTCAGAAAATTTTAGCCTGATCTCCAAATCTCAGTCAATATCTTGTTTTGGGGTGATTTTGCATCTCGGTGTCTCAAATTTTTTACTAAGTCTTGGTCTCAAATTTTGGAACCTGGGTCTCACAATGTCTCGAATATACCATTCTACACCCCCAGATTTTGTACAGTAACGTTAAATCATAGATAAGGAAATAGTAACATCAAATCATTCACTTTTCAAATTTTCCATCTGCCAAAGATATAACACTGTAGTTTTATTGTTGTTGTGTACATTATTTTTTCAAATGTGTAATCATCTTTTCTCAGGATGACAAATCAACACTTTTTCTTATTGCTGCTTATGCTCGATACAATTGTCCTTATGTATGGGTGAGTGCATCTTAAATCATTTTACATTGATGTATATGGTGCATTGTTTTCCCTAAATCTACTCCATTACTTGGCTTGTTGTGTGACTTAATGTACAAGGTAGGAAGCAGTGTAATTTAGTAAGACAAAGAACCTGAGTCAGAACCTGAGATGGCCTTGGTTGTTGTCCAAAGCACTGCAAGTTGCTTCTGATTACTTTCCCCTGCTTCACAAAAAATGAGATGATATGAGGATATTTATAAGGTG